CTCAAAGGCAAGCCCTGCGGGGAGGGTAAGTCGGCCGGGAAGACGGTCACGAGCCACCCCAAACCCAAAACTAGTATGGTGCTACGGTGCTCTCAGACATGTTCCACCTGTCGCGAGGGCCTGTGTCGCCTTTGTTGTCCGCCAAATGCGGTAAGCACTTCTTCACGAGCGTAGCTTTCGCTTCAACGTGTGAAGAAGGTTGTCTTTTCTCCCGGGCTTTTTTCGACACAGATCACCTGTGAATCTTCGGAAGGACGTTGTTTAGACGGCCAGGATGCTTTCGCAATGTGCGCGAAACACCGGCTTTGCGCATGCAGTCTGCTGCAAGGTGCCGAGCTGGTCGAAGCTTTGAAGCGGGACCGATCCTCAAATGGTTTTCGATGTTTGGGTCGTTGGTCGCATGCGCCCTTTGCATCTGCACGCAAGCGGCACGCATGAAGTCAGATGCGAGATCGAGAGCCCGCCCTGCAGGAAGCGAACTTGGATATCATAGGCCTACGTTATTGACATCTTTGGCAAAGAGCATATCGGAGATATCGGAGCTGGTGGAGCGGCGCTGAACTATGGGCAATTTTGGCAGTGTGTCTTGTGTGGTGTGAAGGGCTTCCCTGTATTTAAGGCAAGTTGTGTATGCACTAGCGGCAACCGCAAGTTGCATGCATTGGCTTGATGTACATATAGACACGTTACAGGTGGTCGAGCGTCCTGCGGGCAAGTCTTGATGCCGCGACTAAGTCGTCAAGCGGGGCTTTGCCAGATCTAGGTGCCTGCGGCACTTGGGTTCAATGGCCTTTTGGGGTTCTGCAATAGAGTTTTCTCAGCAGCGTCTCATCTGGAGGACGCACGACGGGGCCTAGGGAGTTTGCCTCCAAACTGATTTGAAACCTTTGAACAGCCAGATCAGGCTTGAAATGGCAGACCAGGCTGCTATCTAAGTGCCGCCAAAGGCGAACGGGAGAGCGTGGAAAAGCGGGCAAACACCGTCAAGCCTCAGAGCTAATCAGGCTCCGCAGGAGTATCATCAAAGCCTCTTGCTCGCATGGGCTCAGAATCAGGGCAGCCCTTGAACTGAACTGGAGCCTTGGGCCTTTCCCGACTTCGTTTTCCAGAGATGTTCTGCGCATGCTGCGAGTCCCAGACGCAGGACTTTGGCGCAAGTTGTGCTGATATCCTTTGTCGTGGAGTGCGTTTACGGGTCAGGAGAACCTCGTCGAGGTGGTCTCCCACGAGATCTTGCAGACACCAGCTCCGCAGAAGAAGGCCAGCTTAAATCATGCCATTATTTGGTCAAGTTCCTTGAAGTCAGAGCTCTCCTCCCTGTCGTAAGGACGAGGAGGCTGCACCGGTGCTCAAAGAGAAGGCAGAGTGAGAGAGTTCAAACATTCGCAGTTCCTCCGCCCTTCTTCGGAGTTCTCAAGGCCGAAGCTCCCAGCAATATCTTCACGGTGACAATCGAGAGTCGAGGTCCGTGAACTAAGCCGCAGCTTGTGCTGTGGATGCTGTGTAAGGGCGATAGCCCAACAACGCTTTCAAATACAATGTATCGAATGGATAAGGGATGAGAGTAGCAGGCGCGTGACGGTCTTTTTCGCACAGCTCAGGTCAGGACGTTTAAGTTACTAGGGCCGAATGCGCTGGTACAGATCAAGTGCATCAAGTGCACTGCCTCGAGCGCGATGTCAGGCGACTTTGGTGTCGTGCTCGATGACTTGGGTTCGCGAGGTGTGTCGACAGACAGAGCAGACATAGTGGCTGCACGACCAACAAGTTGTTGCCTGGTAGTCGGCTTCTCTGCGCACCCACGAGACAGCTGAGCGTGTCGGTAGCAACGCTGTCCGAAGCTGCTGCTGAGCTGGTTCAGGCCCGGTGATTGCTGCCGTGAACAAGGGTGCCGCACACGACAATGGCACACTCCGAAAGTATGCTTCCTGTCAGCAAAGTCTAACATCACTAGTTGCGGGATAAATCTTCTGGATGGCTGAGGACTGCATCCTTTCAGTCAACGGTGTGGAGAGTGATGTGCCTTGGATAAAGGCCGAGGTGCATGGTGTTCTCTATGGCATTACGGCCCAGGTTAACCGGATGTGGGACATCCTCGAGTCGCCTGGCAAGTGCACGCTGACGGTGCTGCGGCCAACCGACCCCTGGCGAGCTGCGGTCAGCTCCAGAGCGGTGTTTCCATGAAGCCCAGCATCTGAGGAGATGGCTTTCAAGCTCAAGAAGTCGGACGACGA